TATTTAAATTTAGTTTTATATGTACCTTTCTTATGTCCCATTTTAATTAAGTTTTTTTTTTATAAAAACAAAAACAGCACTGAACTGTCTGACTGAACAGAACAATGAATTGAAAATTTAAGATTTAAGGTTATGGTTCAATACAGTTGCAAAAAGGTAGTGACTCTACGTCCTACCAACGTAAGAATAAGGAAATCTAAACAACGTTGGAATTAGTAAAACAGACGACGTTTGCATAACGTTGGAATAGGTCCTGAAACTGACGTCGGAAAACTCTATATTATCCAACGTTGTAACTACGTTGTCCAAATCACCTAAAGATCACTTAAGCAAAAAAGGTTACAAGACAACGTTTATTCGACGTCGCAGAAGCTTCCTACTTTGCTGTAGTACTAGTCCAACGTCGGCACAACGTTATAAAAACGTTTAAATTTATTTTAATACCCAAGGTAGAGAGCTAACTATTTTTTGTAACTAATCCAACGTTGTGTTTAGTAAACATGTGGTCGCAAGTCGTGAAAATGCTACTTGGGTTATATTTGTGTATTTTTTTACTGTATGTAATTTTCATTCTTTACAAAATTACCAGTTTGCTCACATTTTATAATACCAAGTATATATATATACCGGGTGCGTCTCAAAAGTGGCTCACCCCTATAACTTTTTTATTTTTGCAGATTACAGAACGAAATTTGGTGTGTTAGTATATGACATAAATTAGGATTGATTGACGTTTTCAATTGTTTTCTGTCACTTCTTGTTTCACCGTAAATTACTACAACTTTTGATTTTTAAATGGCACCCTCGGTATTTTGTTACTTTTATTCGATAGAAAATCACCCTCTGAATAGATTGACATATCATATGCTTTATTTGAAATTGTAACATGTGGTTCATAAGGACAATTTGACTCAAAATACCAAGTGTGTGGTATCAAATTATTCCTAAAAAAATGCTTTTTCCAAATATGGTAATGAGTCACTTTTGTTCCATTTGAAAAAATTGAGATATGATTAAAAATACTATTTGGGCATCTTTTAACCGGCCAGGATAAGACACTAAAAACATTAGACGATCAAATCTATTTTTCCAAGGCCCCTTGATTAAAAATTAGCGTTTTAAACACAGCCATGGCGCGCTAGATTGAAATTTAAAATACAATTTTGTTTTAAGCGAAAATGTCAAAAGTTAACATATGATATGTATGTCATTCTATTCGGAGTGTCATTTTCTATCGAATAAAGTAAAAAAAAATACCGAGGGTGCCATTTAAAAATCAAAAGTTGTGGTGATTTCCGGTGAAACAGGAAGTGGCCGAAAACAATTGAATAAGTCAATCAATCCTAATTTATGTCATATACTAATATACCAAATCTCATTTTTGTTATCTAAAAAAATAAAAAAGTTATAGGGGTGAGCCACTTTTGAGACGCACCCGATATAGATTATAAATTAAAATACTGTATTTTTTTGCATCAGTAGAATGTGTGAGTGTAATAAAATTAATAATGGTTATTAAATTTTCATCATTTTTAGATTATTTTTTAGAAATAGCTAAAAGTTTTCTCATAATAACAATTAGCCAGTTATTGCAGCTACTTAGCTATAGTATTTTTTGATAATAACTTTCCATAACTTTATAAACCTAAAGTCTTTGCCTATATTGTAACTTTCGTTTTTAAGCTAACGCATGATTTGCTTTTATTTTTTTTGCCATTTGCCCTTGAAAGTGATATTGCAGATACCTACAAAAATATTTATTAAGTACCTCTCAAAATAATCTTGACCTAAAAAGAGCAAATTATGGCCCCTAAAAACTTTTAATGAACTAATGCCATTTTAGTATAAGCGCTGACTTCAACATCTTCAGCAAAACCAATATCAGATTTTTTTCAAAAATAATGTATTGGTTTTGATTTAATTCAAAATCTCAAGAAAAGTTGAAAACATGTTTTCAATATGTGCACATATTGATATTACAATATTCCGACATTCAAGAGAAATAAAAACTGAATGTTCTTAAGATATTTCGTGCGTGTTAAAGTGTCATTTCTCCTTTACAAATTATGTTATATTCCTTTGTTTAAATATAATATTTTATCGGCTTACAGATCTGCGTGTCTTGGAAAAATCTGTCAGAATCAGACAAAATTGTATTTTACGAGTGACGTCCCTATATAAAGCGCCATAAGAAAAAAAGTTTGGAAGTGATTTAACGCAGAGACATAACACAACTATAAAAACTGGAATAATGGAAGATTTTATGGAAGAACGCCCAAAGTTGGCGATGGAAACGTACACCCCTTTTATGAGTTATAGCAGGGAAGGACGAATTGTTTTCAAAACGTATATTAAGAGTGTAGGTGCGGCCATCGTGTTAGCACGTTCTGTTGATAACAGCTTATCGATCGATACAAAATTAAAAAGGGTCATAAATTAGCAAGATTATCACCTTAATACTAAATATTTCAACATTTAAATTCCTTAAAATTAGTTTTTTAGTTCTGAAAATAAGTCAAAACTATTTTTTTCCTAAATATCAGTGCTAATTATAACATAAATTCGGCTCTTTTTGAAATAAATTTCCAATTAATCTTAAGCTATAAGAGTAAATTAATATTCAAAGTCTTTATAGTTTCCTTTGAGATTTTAAAGGATCATTATAGGGAAACAATTATATAGAAAAATTCATCAATTGTCATTTCCAAGCCATCTTGAAGCTTTTTTATTTTGATCGTATCACACGCGTTATGGACCATTTATTTACATATGATACAAAATTGTAAAAAAAATAGTATATTGTTTTATTGGGAGTAAAGATGATATTTTTTGGCGAGGCTATGCGTTTCACGGACGAGCGTTACCCATTCCAACATTACAGGCAAGGCACAAAACGTCACTTTTACTCCGAATAGAACCCGCTATTTTTTTCAAACGTCACTAATAATTTTTAAACAATTTTCAACGTTCCAAATAATATAAAAAAAAATTAAAAGTACATACCCTGTAAGTATGTAATTGTATATCGAAAAACTATGGTTACGGCTCGTTGAATTTGACACTTCATGTCAGTTTAATAATATATTTTCGTATAAAATTACGAAAATATTATTTACGCTTAGGCGTAAAAGTGCTTTACTTTTATGCCTAGGTCAATCACGTCGCAAAAACTAATACTTTTTTGACGTTAAAACGACAATGACGTTGATGAAAAAAAGGATAATTTTACTCCGAATAGAACATTGTAGCGTTTTTTATAAAACATTACCACTGCGAATGGCAGCTTTTCATCGGAGAGCAGTCATCATCGGAGAGATAAGGTATTTCACTAGAGAGAAAACCAATCAATAACAATAAACAAAAAATACAGATATTGGGCGCCAGGCATGTACAGAGAAAGAAAACACAGTTGTATATTACTTAAAACTAATGACTATATTTCATGATGTTCTTTGCTGGTACATGACATTGTAGAATTCTAATAAATATATAGTGGTTATATGTCAAAAAAAAATGGTGTTAAGAGTTGTACTAAATATCTATGAAAGTAATACTATTGCAAGACGTAATGTAATGAAACCTAAGATCTAAATCATATTTTAAATATTAAATCGACATGAATGTTCTTAACAATCTAATCACTAAACATAGTCTGTACGATATTACTTAAGATGTACGTTATTGTTTAAGACTGAAAATGTTTTAAATGTTAAATATAAAACTAGAACTTAAATCTACACTTTCTGCTGTTAAGCTGTTCTTTATGTAATCTTGCTTCAAACAGTAGCAGCGTGAGGTGGTCTCGTATCTCTGTACTCGGCCATCCAATACAACAAAAGGGGTCAGAATGAGGACACCATGAATTGATACAGCCGTAACTACTAACTAGCTTATGGATGGGAACGAAGTAGCATGGGGCTCAAGCTACATCCACGCTGGGCAATATGGGGACACTACCCGTACCTTGGAACACTACTAGGACCTTGTATAATGCCCGAACCTTGGAATCAATACATAGATATGGGACACCTGCCCATACCTTGGACACAGTCCGTCCATAAGATAACGGTACAGGGGAACACTACCCGTACCTTGGATACTACTAGGACCTTGGATAATGCCCGTACCTTGTAAATAGTCCGTCCATAAGACCCTAAAAATATGAAACTCTTGTTTAAAAAACCAAACAAAGTCTAATAAACAAAATAAACCTACCTCGAATTACTTCCGAGGGCTCAATAATAAACAAAGAAACTGTCCTTTCTTCCATGTAACATTCTGGAGGACAAAAGAAAAGGGACGCCAACGTGCCAGCAAAATACAAATACAAGTTAAGTTGAGACATCCAAAACTCTACCCTAAAAATATGCAGTAATAATATCGAACCTAAAAGGATAATATCTCATCTTTACCTGTTGCTTTGAAATAGCAGCTGATTCAAATTATACAGCAAGATTTAAATAATCACCATTTCTAAAAGCCCGGATACAACAGAGCGCTAAAAGCAAGTGAGGTTAAGCACGGAGAGAGTTGACAGAAGCGATGTTGACAGCGCCTCCTCAGAGCGATAACAGGGTTGGCGACTAGGGAACGTAAAAATTACGCCAAGCGTGCCAAATAAATTATCAGGCCTGAACGATACGGAATCCGATGACGATACGCCAGACATCATATATATCATATATAAAAAAGACATGTAACGAACTAAAAACGTTACAACATGCTATTTGTTCAAACGTCGCAAATGTATAAAAAGTAATAACTTGTAAGTTATTTCATATCGGGCAACAATGTTCTCATCAACTCGTTGAATCTGACAGTTAATATCAGTTTAATAATACATTTTTGTACTTTTGTGCTTAAGCGTAAAAGTGTTTTACTTTTATACCTAGACCTTAATGACCTTTTTATATTTGTCAATCTTATCGCAAAAATTAATACTTTTGTGACGTTTAAAAAAGTATTTTGCTTACAAAATGAAACCACAATTTTTTACTTACCCTATTTAACTGCTTCGTGAGCTTGGTTATGGTTTGCTTATCTCGTAGTTCGTTTTTCTGGACGTTTTCTAGGGCAATCTCCAGTTCGACAATACGGTTTTCAAGATAATTCTGAAAAAAATAGCGATATATTACAAATCTCAAAGAAAATGATTCTATTTATATTTGATTGTATTAAAAGGCCTCTTTTATTTCTCGTTAAAGGCTATCGTTTCTTTCATTGTAATTTTTGCATTGTTAAAATCTACCCTGTGACCTGTGTCCCATGAAGTAAGGTTATACAAACGTTTGCGGTTCTCAACTATTTTGTACCATACCGGTGCGGCATATAGATTTTGTGAATGCACAACGCTTGTCAGGATCCGTCTTTTGGATGACCTAGGACCTTGGCTATTTGGCATCAACGAGGATAGCCCCGTAACGGTTCTTTCTGCTTTAGCGGCAATTTTGCTTAAATGTACTTCAAAAGTCAACTTGCTGTCTAACCATACCCCCACATATTTCAATGCCTTAAGGTTGATTCTCACTATACCTTCCGTTTCCATTCCATATCCGTTCCGTATTTTTTATTGTATATTGGCGCTATCCATAAAGCTTCCGTTCCATATCAGTTCCATACTTTTTATTGTACAATTTACGAAAAATCATTACGAAAGTTTCATTTTAAAAATTTGTATCTTTTAAAAAAGGTAACAGATTTAATTAAAAGGTGAAAGAATAAATAAATATCAGCAAAATTTTAACAGAGCTGGTACAAATGTAAGAACTTGACAACGCTGTTTCCGATACGCTTCAGTCCGTCCGCCAAAAAAATTTATGGAAAGAAAGGATATGGAACGGAAGGGAAACGGAACGGATATAGTGTGCATTGTCCTATTCATTTACATGGTATAATATTGTATGTAAACGGAAGGGAAACGGAAGATCAACCTTTATAAAATAAGGAGAATCAACCTTTACAAAATTTGAAAAGATATGGGAGTCATCTTCCTTCGTGTTGTCAATTATACAACCTCTGTTTTATGTGATGCCAACTGGAGTTGATGTTCCATCATCCAGTGTGTTACTCTTATTAGAGCGGACTCCCAGAGTCGACGCAAATTTCCATCGTTAGATCTAATATACAGGGTGCTACAAATTCGAGCATTGGTATCTCGGTAACCGTAATAGATACGAACATGGTTAAATTGGGACAAAGTTGCGCTTTGGGATGTTCACCAAGATGCCATTAAAAAAGTTTTAAAAATTTCAAGGATTGCTGAGTTTTTGGGGAAAAACTGATTTTTTTGAAAATCAAATTTATTTTTTCCTGTCGTTACTTTTTAGAAAATCAAAAAACTAATTGCACATTCTTATAGCCACTTTATTAGGGCTATCTGATAATTTTTGAGATACAGAGGCGAACTTAATTTTTTTAAATACGGACCTGCATTTTTTATTTCATATTTTGAAGGAACTCGGTCTCATGAGTACAATGATGTGTCACACTTAATATTTTTTTTTCTGACATTTGAACACAATTTATTTAAACTAATTCATTTATTTTAAACTAAAGTCCGGCTCTTTTTTTAATCTATTCTTAAATTTAACTTAACAATGACTTGGGTAAAACATTGAATACGGAAAATCAAATGCAATAAAATAGTTAATATAAATATTATATTATAATATAAACGATCAAATCATTTTCCCGGAAGTATTATAATGTCCAACGAAGGTGCTGCCAAGTGAGAGGACCTATCGCCAAGGGGCTACATTATTTGACGTCATCTGTAAAAGTGAAATCCATTCATCTCAAGATTTACAATAAAGAGTACAAAATGCATTCGGAAGTATAAGAAAAAAGTTCAAAGAGCTATAAATATAATTGAGCTAAAAATAAATTTGTGCAATAGAGAGGGTGGTAACCGTTTCGAACATGTAGAACATTAGAAACTAGTTTGTAGAAGTTGATTTATTTATAATAACTACTATTAATATTATGCATATTGTTAGATCGCACACTGAGATTTCAAATTCACAATAAAAAAAATTAAAAATAATATCTTTAAATTTCTGACCTGGATATTATTTATTTGAATCTTCCAATTAGCTCAATTTTCCTTATTTAATGTTAATTAGCGCTGATCAATATTGTTGCGATGAATATAATCAGATTAAATAATTTAAGAAACCAGAGTCGGACTTGAAATTATTTTAAATAATAATTAAATAGTTTTGTTGCTGTTAAGATATCCAAAACAAAAAAAGTATAAAGTGTGGCACATCATTGTATTCAGGAGACCGAGTTCTTTCAAAACTTCAAATAAAAAGTGCAGGTCCGTATTTAAAAAAATTAAGTTGGTCTCTGTATCTCACAAATTGTCAGCTAATTTAAAAATCTAAAAATACTATCAGATTGCCCTAATAAAGTAGCTGTGAGATTGTGCAATTAGTTTTTTGATTTTCTATAAACTAACGACAGGAAATAATAAAATTGATTTTCAAAAAAAATCAGTTTTTTCCAAAAAAACTCAGCAATTCTTGAAATTTTTAAATCTTTTTTGATGGCATCTTGGTGAACACCCCAATACGGCAACTTTGCCCCACTTTAACCATGTGCGTATCTATTACGATTACCGAGATAACAATGCTCGTACCTCGAATTTGTAGCACCCTGTATAGGATGACGAAATTTGGGAATCTCTGATCTAGATGTTTCACCAATATGAAATTTATCACATTCACATGACATTTTGTATATCACATATTTATTTGTTATTCAGTGTCGATACTGTTAATGTTCTTCAATATTTAGACTGTTGCATTTTAAAGAACGCCGAATTTATAGCGCAGCGACATAAAATCCAAACTTATTCGTCTGGCTTCTATCTCCTCTAAGGGAGAGCGTAGACTGTGGCGGGGGACGACCTCCCCGTTTTAATCAAAGCTCCATTCAGCTGCCCGGTGCATCGGGTCGCTCGCCCTGATTTTAAGTCTTTTATTGCGAAATGCAAGAGCCATTTTAATATGTTTCACTTGTCAACTGTACATTAAGGGGAAAGAAGACATAAAAACTATATATACAATACGGAGCTCGAGGTTGACTGATTTTTCATTTTTTAAGTATGACAGCTCTTTATTAAGCTAAATTACTAAAGGTTCGAAAATTGCACAGAAAAATTTAAAAAATTTTAGATATCTTGTTCTAGCAAAATAAAAATAAAATAAATAAAAAGCAAAATAAAACACTAATTCATCACAGTACACCAAAACAATTTATTTTTAAAACAGGACGCGCGTTTCGCTAACTGTACCTATTATCATCATCAGCAGATGATACTAAAGAGATGATTAAAAAAACGCGCGTCCAAAAGTCCAAAATTGTTAAAAGTAAAGTGTTTTGGCATAATGTGGTAAAATAGTGTTTTATTTTAATGTTGTGACATCTAAGGTTCCATCCCCCAATTGTTATGCTGTTCTAGTCAAAATATGACTTTAACAATACCAAAAACTGGCAAATCACAGCATTTGATATGAATGTTTTTTTATGGAAACTTAAAAATACCCTATATAACAAAGAAATCATATATCCCCAAGTTTGAAAGGTCTGTCATTAGTCTCAATAAAGAATAAAATAAGATTGGGAATGAACATGGCTCAAAGTGTAAAATGTATTACGACACTATACAGGTTGGTCCGAACTGTATTCCGGAAACTTCGGCAGCATATTCTGCGCATAAAAATAAGTAAAAAAGTTCGTATAAATGTATGTCCTAGTTTATTCCTGAGCTTCAGAGATACAGGGTGTAGAAGTTTCATTTTTATTTCGATTTTTTCCAAATAAATTTCTGAACTAACATCGATATTTGGATGAAAATTGGTTTCTGGGAGTTTTTTGACATGAGAAATTTGATTTTGATGTCAATATGATACTGGCTTGTAGAGGGCGCCATCTATATATTTTTTAACTGATTTGAAAAGTAACTTTTCGTCCGTCTCTGTATAAAACAACAGAGTAAAAAATATGCGTTTACGACGCTTTTTACGTAAAAAAGTTCTCTTGGTAAAAATCTCTACGACTAATGGTTCTCGAGATATTTGGAATCGAAATTATCAATACCTGTCATAATTGACATAAATTAAACATCATTGAAACTATAAATTTGAAATATTTTGTGCCAAAAGTTCAACAGAAACTGTTTTATCATAATTTTTCAAAGAAAAAATTAAAAAAAATAAAAAGTTTCTAAATTTATCATTTCAGTCAAATAACTATTTACTCAACATGTTTACTTTTTGTCAATAATGACATGTATTGACAATTTCCATTCTAAATATCTTGAGAACGGTTGCTCATAGCAATTTTTACCAAGAGACGAGAATTTTTTACGTAGAAAATGACGGAAATGTACATTTTTTCACTCAGTAATTTTATACAGGTACGGATGAAAAATTATTGCTCTTCAAAACTGTTGAAACACATGTAGGTAGCGCCCGCTACAAGTAGGAGTCAGATTGACATCGAAATTAAATTTCTCATGTATCTATAGTTCATATCTCTATAGTTCAGAAATTATTTGAAAGAAATCGAAATAAAAATGAAACTTCTACACCTTGTATCTAAGAAACGAAGTATTTTCGGACATAGATTTATGCGAACTTTTTGACATATTTTTATCCGCTCACCACAATACACCAAAATATTTTTTTAAACACTGGACCGAAACACAACTATGTTACCATCATCAGTAGAAGATTAAAACTTCAAAAAATGTTTATAATCATCTGCTGATGATGCTAATATGTTTAGCGAAACGTGCGCACAGTGTTTAAGAAAATGATTTGGTGTATTGTGGTAAATTAGTGCTCTATTTTGCTGTTGTAACACCAAAGATTCCAACCACCAACTGTAATAAAATAACATTAAATGAAAAAAGCACGAGTAAACTACTTTTTACTATAGTTTAAAACCCTTGGGCTAATACGATGAAAAAACGCATCTCGGCTCGTATCTTACTGATTCAATCACAGGGCATTTTAATACGATATCATTAAGCGGTAATCTTGTTTGCACAAGAAATCTTCCCGTCTGCAATTGTACGTATATTATCGTCCAATTTTGTCGTCGG